TTTAGGGGTTTAGGGGCCTTAATAGTGAAGGTCCTTATGTACTTTCGATGGAGGGTTACTGGCTAATGCAAGACTACTTGGATCGGGAACCGAAGACCGAAGATTCAAGAGCACACGACCCCAGATGTTCAAATCCGAGCCTCACTACCCAAAGCTTGAAATCAAGATCCAAAACCTGGCAGTTTTAACATTATCCCTTGACATTGAATCAGATCCGGAGTGCTGCACCTGCAGGCGCGTGCCTGCCTTATGTGGGGGATGCAGCGATGCCATAGGCAGCAATTTCAGGAGCAGGGAGGTAGTGAGGAGGTTTCGCGATGACTCCAACTATGTCTAGATTTGGGGTTTGGCTTGGGCCGGGGTTTGCCTCTGAAATAGGACAGGGATTTAGTTCCCACACCGGATGGACACTGCATGGGCGTGTTGGCTTATGAGGCGAAGGATTTTGCAGTTTCAGGCATAGCCCTTGTGCCAAGTCCGGAGTTCTACCCAGATTCTCAGAAACCCGGCGCTTAAGATATCCACATGTTCGATGGATCGCTGCAGTACTTTCGATACCCCCAAGACTTGCGACACCGAACCCGGAATGCACTGAACTACAGCACCTCGCACTCTTCTCGAGACCTCCTATTGTTTATCAGTGCTACGAAGGTCGCTTGGGCTTGCAGGAGAAGACGACTTGATGAACGAATGTGGTTTCTTCCTCAAGGCATTCCCCAAATGTCTAGAACGAGCCGGTATTTCCAAAAAGTCCTGAACTCATAGCCCGGAACTTGAAAGCCTCAAGATCATGTACGTCTGCCAATCAACCTGTGCCGCGCGTGTCCTCGCATGGATGTCGACGTAACATGCGCGCCTGTGCACCTAGTTTTCAGGTCAGCGATAGTCGGAGTTGTAGAACTGTACAGTGTAGAACCCAACGTCTCCATTCAATTCTCAATGCCCAGCAGCATGAGGATTTGTTTCAGAAAAACTGAACCGACTCCAAACGTCTTCTCCTTGAGCTTTTCGGTGCGATTTGGAAGATACTTGTGCCAAGGGCACATCTCTGCCCATCAGAGACATAGAGGGAGGCCGTAGACAAGGCTCAGAAGGCAAATCGCTAACTTGCAGAGAAGATGAGCTGGTTTCGTGGCATACCCCGCAACAGGAACTCGACAAGATGCTTCATTGCATATACGGTACGAGCCTTCACAGTCCAGTCTCTCTGCGTTGGCAGCCTGCCATTGTCGGCAATTGCCGGTGGATGCTGAGTGTGCAGGGCAGATTGACCTTCAGCCACTTGTAGCAAGATTGAGAACCCAAGACTCTAGGCGAACTTAGGACGAACCTCGCGAGAGTGTAAGAACAAGAAG